CACTAGCACTGTTCTGTGAATATCGATCCATATAAAAATTGAATATTTATGTAGAAATTGGATTTGAGGAAAAATTAATAAATGTAATGTTAATCAGTTGTTTATGAAACCATTATCCCTGGTTGTAATTCGTTACATTGAGTTATATAAAATCGTCTACTAATCTATTGGACATATCTAATAATCAATTAAACATGAATTATTTAACAGCTGTAAAAGATATTACAAAGACTGTGACGTCGATTGTCGCTGAAAGTCAATTGTTTTCGTTTTCTGTGCTGTTTGTGTAAAAAATTTTGATTGCCGAACGAATTTACACTTAATTATAAATAAAACATGTCACTATTTGATCTCTCTAGAACATATCAACCGTGGTATAAATTATCTCAAAATCCCCGGTAATTAAACATTACTTATGAAAATTTTGAATGATTTTCCTTTTTTTTTATACAATTTGTGGTCTGGGTGATCGTGTTTGCTCTCTTGCGAATGGATAGTACACTTTGCGGTGCCCTTGTTTTTGTTGAATAACAGACCTTTTGTCTTAAAAAGAGATATTCGTGAAGAAATTCAAGGAAATCATGGAACATGAATGTTGTAACAACGACAACCGCTAAAGACATTTTTTACTCAGCTGAAAACCATAAACCGTAAACCGTAGAAAATAAATGTAATTAAAAATCGTAAACTACAGTTATAGGGTTCTTAAAGTTTTCAGTTGAAACTATATTTTAAAACCCACAAAATATAGATATATATCCCATATAAAGTTGAATCTATATTTATTATAAAACAACGAAGAGAAGTTTTTGGTTTTAAATCATCAATATACAGCTAAAACAATTTGTTAACATTACATGTTTGTAAACAATTTAAATTTACACTATTGTAGTGTTTCAGTGATTAATAGCCTTAATACGACTAGGTATTCCATAAAATTGAATTGAGCGCAATATCCACAGGAGAGTCTTTCACATATATCTCTTTTAGTCGTTTATATGTCTTCTCTATTGGACCCCATATATTTTAAGTTGTGTTTAAATCTGGACTGTTGAGTGTAGAAACTACTGTAAACGTATTTATTGCCACAGGGTCATAATTCCGCGGAATCCCAATATCTGTTTTATCCGCGGGTAAAAAATTACGCGGATTCTTTACATGTCAAAAAAAAAAAGTATCCTACAGGTGATATAAACATGTATACATACGTGTGAAATAATGAAGTACTAGTACCTCATTCATTTAATGGAATTTCATCCCTAAAAACACTTTAAGTACGCTGTGATAAATTTTCGCGGAAAATGTCCGTGTTTAAAGCGTAAAAAATCCCACGCGGAAAAAAGTACGTGTACAGTATATTGCGTTTGAGAAATTGTCTTAAGCTTAGAAGGAATAATTGAAATGTGTCAGTACTATTTGTGCTAGTTTAGTATTTCTCAAAAACGATTAGTGTTTATCATTAAGTACAGTACTATAACTGAAAACAAGAGGCCCAAGGGCCTTGGATGGCTCTTCTGATAAACTGTACAACCTATCACTTCTATTTGAAGCCTCTAAGTATCCTGTATATTTAGATAAAGCCTTGAAATTCCAAAGGTAGGTCATCATGACCTACATTTTAGATGAAACACTCTGAGAACCCAAGATGATTCTAAGCCAATTAGTACCTGAGAGTAGGTCATGGTGACCTACTTATCACTTGTCATTCTCTTAGGACCCATGATGCATCAACTAAGTTTGATGATTCTAAGCCAATTAATACCTAAAATATTTTTAAAATCATAACCATAAAATTTCAAAAGTAGGTCACGGTGACCCACTTTTCAGTTGTCATACTCCAAGGACCCAAAATGCATCAACTGACAAAGTTTGATGATTCTAAGCCAGTTAGTACCCGAAATATTTCATTATAGTCACATAAATTGAAAAAGTAGGTCACGGTGACCTACTTTTCAGTCGACCTACTCCAAGGACCAAAGATGCATCAACTGTCAAATTTTGATGATTCTAAGCCAATTTGTACCCGAAATATTTAATTATAGTCATATAAATTGAAAAGTAGGTCACCTACTTTTCGGTTGACGTTTTTTGAGGACCCAAGATGCATCAACTTACAAAGTTTTATGATCATAGGCCTTAAAATGTCTAAATTATGCCTCTAAAACGCTTTGAAATCGAATGCCTGTAAAGTTCAAAATGTAGGTCACTCTGACCTTCTTTTTAATAAATTTGTTTTATGGCCCCAAGATGCATCATCTTACAAGATTTAATGATTCTAAACCACTCAGTATTCGAATTAATGACCTTAATTGTTTTGATAAAAATTAGCTATAAAATTCAAAAAGTAGGTCATGGTGACCTACTTTTTAGTTGACGTACTCCGAGGACCCAAGATACATCAACTGACAAATTTTGATGATCATTGGCCTTAAATTGTTCAAAATATGCCTCTAAATCATTTTGAAAAAGAATGGCCGCAAAATTTAAAAAAGTAGGTCACCGTGACCTACTTTTGAGTCAACATGATATGAGGTCCTAAGATACATCAACTGACAAGATTTGATGATCGTAGTCCTTATAGTAAACAAAATATCAACATTTTAATAAAATGTAATTTTTGGTCAACTTTGAAGTGACCTTGAGACTACGCCCTTTGCCCCAGGGTGATGCCTTGAACAATTTTTAATCTACAACATATCCTCATCCTTTTGTGTAAGTTTGGTGATAATCTGCCCAGTGGTTCTTGAAAAGATTTTTTAGCAACCAGTACTTTTGTTTCTATTTTCCTAATTATCTCCCCTTGTTTAAGGGTCACAACCTTAGTTTTAGTGTAAATTGGAGCCCTTGGGCCAAGGATACCCTGTGACAAATTTGACAATAATTGGCCAAGGGGTTCTTGAGTTATGGCCCATATTCTAGAAAGTTTACGCACACCGCACAAATGGCAATAGCATTAGCTCTTTGAGCCTTTGGCTCAGAAGAGCTAAAAAGATAAGATAGTTTCTCAAATGCAATGCTGTCTCCACACTTCCGTCACCGGAAAATAGTCCTGATATATAAATCTAAATGAAAATAAGACAACCGACCGCTGCTCAGAACAAGAAATGTGTGAAGGAATCCAGCTGGAACGGTGCTTATTTCCAAAAACGTTCTGTGGAAACTCCATTCACAGGAAGCCGAATGCATTAACTTGTTATTCGTGCAAAAAAGGGAGCAGCTAGGTACTAGAAAGTAGAATATCGATTATGACTATAAAAGCTTTCATAAAATTGCAAAATTCATCATATCTTATGGTTGTGTCTTTGTAAGGTACATATACAGCAATACATTTCTTTTGATAATGTGTATTTTTTAAATATGTTCACAAACATATGTAAAGTTGAAATTTTTTGTGCTTTACATGAATAAAAAAATTTTTAAAACATACTGTTCATTTGTTTGGAAAATAAACGAAAACTTTTTAAACTTTTATATAGTTTTTGATAATAGTTTTATGCTGTAACTTGTTTGGAATTGTTATGCATATAATATGTAAGTTATTGCCAAGAATCAAATCTTTTTGATTCGAGAACTTAGATTTTTCAAATCTAAAAATTAAGTCATTGCAAGCATTGAAATTTCTTCAATACAATTCAATTCAATTTACTTAGTTTATTAACAAATTAAGGGTCCTCAAGGGGCAACAAGAAAGTACATTGTAAACACTTATATATACATGTAGTTGTAATACAATATACATACACAGTTCTGAGCAAATTTAAGATTTGTTTGTCTATATGCATACATACATATATTTACTCTCACACATGTAAATATGTATGTACTTACTTTTATATAATTCATCATGATACAGTTCAAATGCCTGAAATTTTACTTATGGCAATGCCTTTTGTAAGAATCTATCAGGAGAGTTTAATATATCTAATTCTTCACAATTTAAGAGATATTTTCTATCATGCAAATTTGTGACATGATTTACTTTAGATGAGATTAATTTAAAAAGTTCCTCTCTTTCCTTTGTAAATTTACTACATTGAATAAGACATTGAATGTCCTCTATTTTCAATTTTTGCCTATTCTTTCTGTTTAAGTGCTATTACATTTGCCCAATTCTATGAGGAGACTTTTTCAGTGTTTATAACATATTATTTATCTATAGATTCTGGGGGTTTCGTTTTGATGCTGCTCTTCTATAGCCCTAAGATTTCATCCAAACATCTAATCTTTTTTCCAAACGTTAAAATTTGCATTTTGTTTTCAGAGAGTTAATAAAAAAGGCATTTTAAACCAGTTATATAGTGTACTAGTATACAAAAGACAAGGTAATCGATATGTATCTTAAAACCAATTTTCTACATACATGTATATCTTTTGTTCTCGCACCCCAGGAAGCTGGATCCGTCCGTATTGATGTTATTTCCAAATTTATTGGAATTTTATAGGTTGCCTTTTTTTAGTCCCTTGGCATGTCCAGAAATAGAAGTAGGAATTAATAGATCAGGTATTGGAAATACGAAATATTCATATTAAATGAAACATCCTGAATTAACTTGTATTTTTGTTTTATTAATGTTTATTTAGGAAATAGGTTCTGTGTTTATTAACATTCGCCCATTGCTTACTTATAACAAATATAGGCTGAGGGTTTATTTTTTGTTATATAATTCTCTACACAAGTTATATACGAGAAACCAACGTTTCCTAACTTTAACGTTTTTCCCCCTCAAGAGTCAATACTCTGTGATGTCTTAGACGTATCTTCAATATAGCCCAATCGTTGTATCACTACCTGGTTACGTACATCATACAATGATCGCGCGGCGAGGAGAAATAATTTCACTATATTGACAGTTCGGGTTGTCAACAGTCCGAGATCAATACACTTCTAGGACTGGAGTTGTTCGTTTGAATTATTCATACAATCGTTTCTACCTCTATGTAAAGTTTTGTAGAATCGATCTCTCTTTTAAAAATGTAAAAAAAAAAATCTATCGTTTCAGGTGCTCAATACGGAATTGTACCAGCAGCGCCATCTTGGTTTGTTAGAGAAGACAGGAAGATTTTTTCTAAAATAACTCACAAAAATATTATGAAATGTAAGAAATAGCAGAACGAAGAGGAAATTGGTAAATTTCATTGATACAAGTGCGACAGGATCTCATAAAACACAAACTTTGACATGGCAAAGAAGAAAGAAGGATGCTGTCGGAAATTCATGAAATTTCTCTTTTCTCACGTGGGACTATGTGTTTTGGTGGCCCTCTACTGCGTGGCGGGGGGATTTATATTTAGACACCTGGAACAAAACAACGAACAGCAAATCTGCTATGACTCTAGAAACGAATATGTTCCTATGGAGAACAAAACACTATCTCAGATGATCAGCGTGATGACGGAGAACGAAGGAAACGCCAACAAAGACGTCATGACGATCCAACTTCGGAGTATCCTCGAGACATTCAGAGATAATAGCATCGCTATTGGTTACGGGGGTGATATCTGTGGGGACTATGGCAAGGAAGGGGGTCCGCCGTACAAATGGTCTTTTCCTGGAGCCCTCTACTTCTCTGTCACTGTCATTTCTACTATAGGTGAGTCATCGCGTCAAATTAACCGTACGTGAGATATTTCACTGTATCAACGGTAGGCCACCTGATGTAAAGAAATGTATTTTTAATGAAAAAATAAATACCAGTGAGAAATACCTCAATATACATAAATTTTACAACCTGTTTCCTCGTCGCCCGCGTGGCGCAGTGGTTAGAGCGTCTGCTCTAGAGTCGCGAAGTAAGGAGTTGATCCTTACGTCGCGGGTTCGAATCCCACTGCGGGACGTGGAGACCGGTCCTTCGGATGAGACCGTATAAACCGAGGTCCCGTGTCGCAGTAGGTGCTGGCACGAAAAAGATCCCTCACTGCTCAATGGCCGTAAGTGCCGAGTATAGGACAAAATTTGCAGCTCTCCATCGGCAAGTGGTGGCGTCTCCATATGAGTGAAAAATTCTCGAGAGGGACGTTAAACAACATACAAACAAACAAACAAACCTGTTTCCTCATTTTATAAGTTATAAAGTTATTTTCTTTTTATCATATTAATACAAATTTGACATCACGGTGTTATTATACAAGAAAGTACGGTTTCAATACAAATCTGGCCCAGTATCTTTGTTTTAAACATGAAATTGTTGGGAGAAATTAAAACTCATGCTCTATAAATTGTTCAAATGCCATGTAATAAGATCATACAAATCGTTTTTCGTATATGACCTTCTAAATGCCAATTGTGACATCATGAACTTGTGCATTTCCTGTATTTCCCCTAAAAAGTTGCAGAAGACATCCATTTTCAGTGGAATTTTCTCTCGGACAATATCCTTAGTACACCACATGGATCGCCCACTAAGATTTAAAGATACTCGGTATGTGATTTATGAAATTTTTTTTACACAGCATATCTGAAAATTGAAGTGGGCGACTCTTGTGGGCACTATTTTCTTTAAAAAAAATAATAACCCCTTAAATGAGTCCTTTTGAGGCTTTTTTCTGTTAAAATATAGAAATGCAAGAAATGAGTGACGTCATATTTCCAGAACGGCCCTCCTCCATGTCATATTCTTTCCTGATGTATCACTTTCATATATCCAACTCATATTTGAGCGAATTTGAACACTTTTAAAAAAATAATTTAGGGCATAATAAGCAAAAACCGTACCTACTTCTTTAAAATACAAGTCCTATGTCGAATTTTCAATCAGTAATAAAAATTACTGTTCACCTTGCAAACAGAAACTGTGTATTTTAAAGCATTTTTCACAAAAATAGATATTTTCACAACATACGAAATAATATGCCGCTAATCTGGTTGACTAATTGTGGTTGAACTCACATCGTTTTTCACATTTGTTTTATTTAATCCACAACTTGGATTTCATTGAGAACAAGATTTTATTAAATATGGGGAGTTAATTCATTGTGGTGAGCTTCCTATGTTGAATGGTTTTTTGGTTTCTGGTTTTAAGACTACAAAATGTTTTTAATAAATTTTACATCAATTCAGGGACGTCCTTTCTGCAAAATTGTGTCAATGAGAATTCGGGTAAATGGGTTGAACACACTAGATTCGTTTCACAACTTTATTGGTAATTTTTGTTTTACTTCTTGTCCGCTTATTCAACTGCACGCCAATACAACTGTGTATGATTAAAACAAATGCATTTAGAAACAAATTTATGTCCGTTTACAGTCCACTGAATGCATTGCTACATACGCACATTAGTATACCAAAAAATAAAAAAAACAATGAAAAGTAGTATATCATTTGTTTTGATCATATTTTATTGACAATATGTCAAAGGGATTGGACACAAGTTCTAAAAACTTAGATAGTCCTCCCCCATACATAAAATCTTAATAGCTATACAGCATTTACAAAGATTTACAATTTACAATATAATACATGAACGTAGAAGAAACAAAAACAATAGTTATAATTGCTAAGGAATATCAATTGATATACTAGTAGTGATGATTATAATGACGACAATAACCATATTAAAATAGTTTCAAAAAGTAGTAAATACAAGTACATGTAAGTGTTAATTGAAACGACCAGTATCCTGAATAAATTTTTAAACAATACCAATTTTTTTTTCATTTTCCTGCAAAGATAATAATTCATCTCCCCATAGCAGTTTATGCACATTTAACATTTGCACGTAGTTGATTTATATTTTTTAAGCTGAAAAACACTACTTTTGTTTTACTTGGATTAAATTTTAATAGCCATTTTTTGGACCACTCATCCAGAATTTTTAAATCATGGTTTAGGTTATTTTCAATAAGGCGCACGTCACTTGAGCTTTCTTGTAAAGAGTTATCGTCAGCAAATAGTCTGCAAGCAAATATCATCATTCATGTATATTAGAAATAAAAGAGAACCTAGGACAGAGCCCTGGGGTACCCCAACATGCACGTTTTTCATGGAAGAAAATAAATTTTTATACATGACTTTTTGTTTTCTATTGATAAGGTAACTTTCCAACCATTCTAAAATATTACCTGAGATACCATACATTTTCAATTTATGAATCAATCCCCTAAGCCAAACTCTATCGAAAGCTGGAGTGTATTTCAAAAAGGTGGCAAAATGATAAAAATGCTTACCACCAAACGCTTTGTACCTCGAAGGCTGCACAATTATCAAATAAAGTTTGAAAGAGCGTTATTTTCTCGCCTTTTATGACAAATATGTAGGTCTTTAGTTTGGTGTTCAAATTTTGGCGCTTTTGGAATAAGCATTTGAAGTGTATTGCAATATAAGGTGGCAAAATTATAAAAATGCCTACCACCAAACACTGGGTACCTCGAAGGCTGCAGCACAATCATTAATTAAAGCCTGATAGGGAGTTATTTTCTCGCCCTTTATGACAAAATATTTACATTTCCAATGTCTTTGTCCGAGATAAAATTACAAACTGTAAAAATACTTTATTTCTGCATAAATCTACTGGTTCATCGAGAGGCGCGGTTAAAAAAAGTCACGTGCGGGGCGGGACAAATAGAGACAGAAGCGAGACTATTAGCACGGGAATTTGCAGAATCAGGAGCATGTAAATATAAGGAATAACTGTCAGATTTTTTGGATTCATGACGATGATCAATCGATTGGCTTGCGTGATAATTTTATGCATAAACGCCTTCGGCGTTTATGCAAATTATCACGCAAGCCACTCGATTGATCACATCATGAATCCAAAAAATTAGACAGTTATTCCTTAATTAGTCCTTAGTTTGGTGATCAGATTTTGGCGCATTTGGAATTAGCATTACTCCACCTTGATTTATTTAAGGAATTACTGTCTAGTTAGTAGAGAATGAGAGAGCATCAACGATAGTTGGAAACGTGGGATAATTTGCATAACGGGCGAAGCCCGTTATGCATAAATTATCCCACGTTTCCAACTATGTTGATGTCCCTGGCATACTCTACTAACTAGACAGTGATTCCTTATATTTCCATTTCATTTTGAAATAAAAATGTAAATTTAGATTTTAAAAATGTACACTAATAGATTTAAATTACACGAGGCCTCACATGTCAATTTCAATAGTCCCCGCCCACTGACGTCAAACACAAAGACAGCCGCACGAGAATTACATGCATATTAGGCCTCCTTAGAGTCAGACACAAAGACAGCCGCACGAGAATTGCATGCATATTAGGCTTTCTTCGCTTCTGACCTTTCGCTTGGCAAAATTTGCATTCCTTTAGAATGATCAAGAAATCAACTCTCCTAACTTTCAAAGAGTTATCACAGAGAAAACAAATAGAAATGGAAATATCTATAAATAATACAAGCAGTTCTGATGAACAGGAAGCTCAGAACGCATGTGCAAACTATCATGCACGAGGTAGAGCAGAAATGTTAAAAAAGCAAACATTTTATAAAATTAGAACTTTCCCTCTTAATTAAAACTTTTTGGAACTCATATGAGTTTTTTTTACTTTGGTAATGGGGGGAACTCATATGAGTTTTTTTTACTTTGGTAATGGGGAATCAAAAGGGCCTCATTTCCAAGGGAGATAATTAAGAAATAGTGAACATTTAAAAAATATTTCAAGAACCACTGGGGCTGAAAAAAAAACTTACAAGAAAGCTTCTTTATAAAGTGTAGATAAAAGTTGTTCCTTTTTAAATTATGGCCCCAGTGGTACCAATGGGACTATAATTGGGGATCAAAGTTTATCATAGGAATATGTAGAGAATAGCGTGAAAAAAACGTTCTCCTTAAGAACTGCAAAGCCATTGTTAATCATACCCAGTATTTATGTGTAAGCACCTGAGGTAGTGTAGATTTCATTTTGAAAAAAAAAATATGGCCCCTGAGACTAAGATTTGGGACCAAAATAGGGGATCAAAGTTTTGCATGGAAATATGTATGATTGTAAAAAAAAAAACAAACTCGAAAGTAGAAAAGAAAAAGTCATTGTCCTGGGGCTACAATAAAGATCAAAACTACAGGAACATGTAGTGTTTAAAAACAGCAGGGGCCACGATAAAACATGCGAATAGACAATCAAACCCCATGTATATAGTGTATATAAGTTTGTTCAAATGATGGCTTCTGGGGTTAGGGTTGGGATCAAAGGACCAAAGTAGGGAGAAAAAAATTACTGGGAAACATGTATGTGAAAACAAAAAAAGTTTCAAATATTTTATTGGAAAGCAGGGACGTAATATTGACACATATTTGCAGACATTCTTATTTAATGTAGATTATCAAGGTGCAGATTTAAACTTAACAGAAAAGACTCTATATTGTAAAAGACATGGACATCAATTTGATGATTTGATAACCACAATAAAGAATTACATTTTTTCTACATAAAGGTATTTATATTCCAAGAATAGAATGATGACTCGAGTGAGCGTTATGGCCCATGGCTCTTCTAGTTTCAATGCTATTATAAAATAAATGTATTAAGCTTTTAAAAAAATCTAGAAAGAGTAATTAATATATGATAAGCACAATATATTTCCATAAACTCCCAGTGCATACTTGTGGCTACATATCGTCAAGAGACAGTAACGATTTTGATCGTCGAAGCACTCACGGCGCATTGATTGAGCGCCTGCAACGCATACATTAATTCTTGATTGTATGTATTGTTCTTTGCGAGGAGACAACAGAAAAATCTATATATTGCTATGTATTAAAATAGTTTCACTATTTTGAAATTGATTTTTTAAAACAAAGAGGTCTTGGAAACACCGTTGAAAGTAAAGGTTTCAATATCGATCAACATTTTCATTTTTATTCCTTTTATGAAAGCCATCGATTGATGGTATTAGGCGCAATATTTTATATAAAAAAAGAATAATCAGGTGAAAATTTTCCAATTACGGTCCCTGTTTGTGTGTTAATCGATGATCGCATTGATTTATAAAATATTTAGTTACATCTTTGAATATATGGAGGGTAATAAATGTTTTAAAGTATAAGATATGGAATTTGTTTAACGAGTGGGACGGTTATATTTTCACTAGTCTAGTGCGAAATAAAAACATCCTGCCACACGAGTGAAAAAATATTCATATATAACAACAAAACATTGAAGTTTTTGTTAATTATTTTTCCTTCCGTATGTTATTGATATAACTCTTGTTATTTTTATAGCATGAAAATAACACGTCTGAAAATATCAATTTTATTCAATGAGGAAATAACGGATTTTTCACTGTTAAAAATGTTTATACATGTATTTACTAAAAGCCAAAAATATCACAGAGTAAAAGATTGATAACACACCTTGATTTTGAGTATTTTTTTTTTACCGTGTAGAAAAGTAATACTGTAAATAATATAATTTGAGATCCTAAATAATGATAATGTTCGTATTTCCGATAATTTGGTGAATGTTTAATCTCGATACCATCGATTTGGTCACAGATATTTTTTCACCTTCCTGTGCTAAGCATGCACTTTCTAAGTCGATCAATTGATTAATTTAAATTTCAACCCTTAATGGATCAGTATTCAAAGTAATTATTGAACCATTGAAAGCGATTCGATATACCTAGGACAAAGAATTAGATCAGGTGGTTAAGCCTCGTTCTCGATAAATGCAGCTGCAATCAAGAAGACTTAGTGTTTGTGTACTCAGTTCAGTCGACAAAGACCGTGTCATTTAGATTTCAGAGAACAGTTTTGCAAAATCACAACTTATGTAAGTTCTTAAAAGCAACTTTGATATACATAGGAAGGTTAATAAAATGTTAATGGCGTTTCTGTGGGTCAATCTTTTTACATCATAAAAAAAAATAATTGACTAATGATCTCAGTCAATAAAATTGCCATTCATTTAATATATTACAAAACCAAAAATTACCCCCCCCCCCCCAAAAAAAAAAAAGATTTAAAAAAATTATAGAAAAAGAAAGGTCCCACCAAATAAAAACAAAACACACATCCCCCCTTAAAAACTAAAGCAAAAATAAATAAAAATAAATAAATAAAATAAAATGAAAAATAAAAACCAAACCAAAACAACAACAAAGATTTAATTTTTTCCTTTAGGGTAAATTTTGCAATCTATCGTTCTTCCTTTATCTTCAGGTTATGGACATATCGCACCCAAGACGTTTTGGGGCCGGTTGGTGTGTATCGCATATGCCATGTTAGGGATACCATTGATGCTTCTTTGTCTGGCGAACATCGGGGAAGTGTTGGCTGATATTTTCAGGTTCATTTATTCAAAGATCTGCTGTTGTGGTTGTTGTCGAAAGAAGGACAAAACTAAGGTTGTCCAAATCAAACCCGTGGCTCAGGAACCCAACTGGAACAACGATAAATCCAAGATCATTACGGCTGCCCCACCAATGGGTACCAGCGATTTCAGCAAGATACCACCAAAGACACCGGACAGCGTGAAAGGAAGAAGTGATGATGGCAAGCCCGTTAAAATTATACCATTGGATATCAAGTCTTTCAATAAACAACAGGAGTTGGCCAACCGATCACAGCAGGTTAGAGGAGAGCCGATGATTATGGATGATGACAGCGATGACGAAGACGATGATTTGGATGAGAAGAAGATCACGGTTCCATTGACAGTTACAATGATTGTCATTGCCGGCTACATTTTGGGCGGTGCCATGTTATTCGGTTTATGGGAGACTTGGGACGAGCTTCAATCAGCATACTTCTGCTTCATCACGCTCAGTACCATCGGCTTTGGTGACGTAGTTCCGGGAACAGATTTCGACAACCCCCAGCAGACGGCGCAACTAATTCTGGGTGCGGTTTACGTGTTGTTTGGAATGGCGATTCTGTCCATGTGTTTTTCGTTGATGCAGGATGAAATCATAGCTAAGTGCAAGTGGGTTGGACAAAAATTGGGAATAATTGACAAAGACGATGACTAAAGAAATCTGTGTTGTTGTCCGAAAAGGGACGATGTTACTGCTGAAGAAATCCAATATATTTTTGGAGTATCTGAAAAACATGTTCTTTTGAATTCGTCAAAATAACGTTTCTTGCATTTTCGGAAAAAAAAATCTAAAACAAAACCTAAATTAGCACTGGAACACAGTACAAAGGTATTGAAATGCCTGCCTAAAAATAGATTTCAAAATGAAGAACTTTGGAGTGTTGAATGAGATATGTACATTAAAAGATGCAATAGATTTTATGTATCTGATTGCCTCAGATAGAAAGTAGAAGCTTGTATAATTTTAAATGCATGTGTACATTTTCATCTCTTCTATTTCACGGTTTGGATTCAATATATTTTTAAACCTTACTTACAACTTCATGTTGGCTTTTAAACATATTCACAATGCAACTGTCAAGTCATTAGTGTTTTGTTTATTGCTCGCAGTTTTAAAAGCATCTTCTTCATTCAAACATGTTTTGTATATTTTATAACTATAAAAAGTTGTCGAACGCTTTCAGAGGAGTAGCCATTCGAACATGGGTGTGGATACTGCTTTTAAATATCTTTGGATACTTACATCACGTGGCCACGGCCCCTGAGAGCGTTCAACCAATGAATGAAGAGAGGAACCTACCAAATAAGGTATTATATATCCGTCCGTGTTTTCCATTAGTTTAATATAGAACTTACAGAGTTTATATATAAAATTTTATGCATTTTATTTTATTTGAATCTATTATATTTATTGGCGATTTAAAGCTCTTGCTCTGATATGTAAGGTCTGTGTTTTTTGAGATCCCAGTTCATTTACGTCCTATGTACTTACTACTCATTTAGGATAAAAATCTCTATTTTCTTATAATGTTGTCTGTGATATGAATGTTTACAATAATAAATTAAGTTTCAACGTCTCTGTGTAGCTTTTGTGTGTTTCCAGACGGAAGTTTTTGTCTAATGACCTGGAGACTATATATAGTGTCCATAAGTGTATAATTAAATTTACTGGTATATAAAAATAGGGTTTTTTTTAAAAATTACTAGTATTTTTCTATACACCTATTTATGGCAATGGGGAAAAATCACAAGTTGTTTTGAATAAACACAGTTTCAATACTATGATTGTGCACGGTGGTACTTGAGCGCTAGAAGTTTGAATTAATACGCTAAAAAAGAGTTCCAAATACTTGATACAGAGTTTTATTAGTTAAGTCTTTTAGATGAATTTAAATCGATTCAGATAGTTATTAAACAAGTTTCATACACCATGGTTTAGATTTTCCGTGCGTATAATGATGTTGCAGAAATTTTTAATAATTCTGAGTCGATATCATTCTGTAGGTATAGTGGGACTAAATCAAAAGAGTTTCAAGATAGGTACATGTACTTAGAATATATCAACTCAAAACGATTTACACTTGATATACATTAGCTCTGAGAATGTCTTGTAGCATATTTAATGCTTAGCACTGGACCAGTGCGGCACAAGATCCTATCTAAACTATTTATCTACTTTCATAAATAAACTTTAAAGTTTAAGTTGGACCATGTAAATTACTTCACTTGACCTTAAGTGACTTTTTATTCGGGTCAACCTTCCTCTTACCCTCCGAAGATGCATGAACTATTGTTGGAAATTACATGGCCACATATTGCAATTAATTTCATAAGCCCATTACCCTAATTGTCAAAGCCTATTTTATCAATAAAACCTAATCAAATCTGACATCTTTGAGATAACACATTCCCAATTTAAACAAACCTCCAGGCTAAATGTATAATTCAACACCCTCTGCATAAAAAATACATTGAAATCTCTCCTATGCAAACAAACTCAAGGGAAAAAACTGGTGAATAAAAAAAGATATTCATCAAGATAGGTCGAGGACACTTAAATTCACTTTCACTGGAGGCCACTAATATTCATATTCCTGAAAGCTATTAAGGTTCCAAAGAATGAAATTGCCAGATCATACCGGGAGCGTTTTTCATCTATGATTACATATGTAACATGCTAAAGACGACAAAGCATGTACATGTATTTTAATATTTTGTAAACTGTCAGAAAAATCTCCTACTGCAATATTGCTTCCTTGACATCTTTATTTCTATCTTTGAGGATCCTGTTTTCTTTCATATCTTGGTTAACATACTAGCATCACGTGTTCTTAATAATGCTTACTCGTTACACACAGGTAATAAATTCCTATTATCAAATTCAAGTTTTGAAAACAAAAACACCATTATTTGTATATGAAACTGTGATAATTTATTTCAAAACAATCAATATTAATTTAGGGCCTTCGTTGGCTAAAAAATGCTGCATCTTCCAGAGTGTAGAGTGATCAGACGGACCATAACTATACTTCTTTTTGTGAATATACATATAGAACAGGCGTCGACGCAAAGCTTCAGCATGACAAGGCGATGATGTTGATTTTATTAAGGTCTGTTAATTAGCCTATGGTATTCTCTGCATTCAGGCGGAATGAATGGTGTCTGTCGATACACATCTATCCCGAGCCATTGAACAACCTATCCGGCCAGCTCTCTGTATTGTTCCACGTGTTTTTGTATCCGTTGAACATTGGAACAATGTTTACTTTTACCCATTGTCAATCAATGTTAGAGAATTTTGTTGTTGTTTTCTTATATGTTAATGCTGGCATTCACCACACAGACATTTTTTAACACAATAAAAATTAAACAATGTTAACTTCCTTTAAGCAATAAATGTACTGGAATAATCAAAGTTTAGAACAGTCAAAAAGAAAAATCTTACCAATTTATGACTGAAAACAAAACATGAACATTTTTGACAAGGTTTGGAAAAGTTTCAAATTGTTTGGTATGTTTATTAAGCATTATTCTACATTTTTTCACACAATCAAGTTATCATGGAAAAATGCCACCGCTCACGAAGTTGCTACTGAAGCCTGATAAATTTATGTCATAGGAAGTCCTGAAGAATGGCCTAATGGTGTTTCCTACATTGTGTATCTATGATATATGGAAATAATTACGTACAGTAATCAAGCTCAGAGGTCCATTGAAACAATACAAATTGGGAGCTGAGCAAACACGGACCTTTAAAAGCATTATAAGTGGGATCAAGTGCTATGGAGTAGTAAGCATCCCTTATACTACTCGTCATGATTGGGCAAACGGAAAAATCCGTAAACAATTCAGTGTGTAAATAATGGCCTAACAATTAGTATGAAAAACGTCAGTCAGCATTCGATTGAATGATAGATTGTGTTTACTGAATTCATGGACTGGAGGCATGGAGTGGAGTTACGGAGTGGAGTTTGGAGTCAAATTTTGGAGTCTAAGATTTAAAAAAAAAAAAAACATGAATGGAGAAAGATGTTCAAGAAATTGCATTAGTATGAAAATTTTTCATATTTTTTTTTACGATTGTTGGCTGTTTCAAGTCTTTTAACTAAACAGATTGACAATTTATAGCTACGACCTAATTAAAAATTTGTAAGTTTCTGAAAGTTACGTAAGTATTTGTAACTTTAGAAAATTTAATCAATATTGAGTAGACCGACATGATACTGACAAGATAACCCCTGTTCTTAGAAAATGTTTGGAAACTGTTGAACATGAGTAATCAACAGATATAGTCGGTCTAACTGGTTGTTTAAATACAGTTTAATTGGACCTGTTAACAATCCTGTCAAGACCTATAAGGCTCAGAGTTTAAAGCAATTTATAAGACTGCAGTTTTTCAATATTACACTCACCTATTCATTACCTTCCATGTAAAATTATAGAAATAAATAATTAGTTTAAAAATAAGTTTATACCACTTTCACAGGTGTACTAATTTAAGGTCCTCTCACTCCCTTACTTCCTTGTATTAAAAGCGACATAGGGATTACCATACTAATCTCTCTCACTTTTCCTTGGGTTGTCGTTCCCTCACCCTCAGAAACAACAAAATAAACTATGGGTCATATCACACTTCAAGTACAAAGCAATGTGTTAATTGTTTTTACTCCAGTTTATCTTTATTAAACATTAAATACACTGTTATTTTTCTAATTGATAGTGAAAGTTCTGTAAGATTACATTGGCTCACAGAGAAAAGTCAGAATCCTCATGCGAAATGAGAAACGATGGAATGAGATTAAGCTTAAAATAACTAATGACCTTAGATGTCAACTTAGAGGGGCAGCTTGTGCTTTTGACTTCATTTTTGTTAGATGACAGATGCAGAGTGAAATGAAAACATCTAACATAGGTCAGATTTTTCAGCGACCCGCACAACTATCTCGCACAAAAAAATTATAATATCATGACATTTTTAATTGATACAATACTATTAACTGAAAGAAATGCTTACTCAGTTTTTGCTTATAATAAAAGTGATAAACTAATCGAATGTATTTCCGCTGGGGTACTCTATAATGGTCCAAATTTCTATGTTAGTACTCTGTCAAAAAATAATCAACTGTTACAGATCATTAGCTTTTTACTATCATAATGTCCAAGACAATCTTGTGATTTAGTAATTCTAGTAATATTACAACTGAAATTTAATGTCAATGTTATAATAGCTTTCTTTACTATTTTATTAAAAAACAAATGCATAAATATATTGTTTAATGTTTTGTTTTTTCTCTGATTATGTAATAATCAGATAATAATTTGAGGTGATCTGTCTCTTACCAGTTAATTATGTACTTTTCAGCTGTTGATATCTAATTAAATCTGTCAATTCTTTATGGGTTCGCAATGTCGGATCACTGATAAATCTGACCTAAGTTAGATGTTTTAATTTCACCCAGCATCTGTTTTCTAACAAAATTCAATCAAGGCAAAAGCTGCCCCCCTTGGTTGACATTTTGAGGTCATTGTTTTTTTTTATTCTGTTGTTCCTGCTATCTTGCTTCTCGTTTTGTGTTTTACACATACCCCCGTTTCAGAGATGTTAACCATTTAATTTTGGTGTATGTGACCTAGTGTTGAATTAACTTAGATCTCCACAGAATAGCATGCATGTACCGGGGTATTTAAATCATTGCATAATTTGGGAGTTTATATAAATGTTATCATACCTTAACTAGCATCACAGTGGATTCCTTCCCATTAACTTCTAAACTGATAAAATTGTGAGTCACCAAAGTATTGTATTCATATTACAGTATCAAAATATTATTTAATTATTTAAGTAAATGTATGTTTATTATGATAATCTTTTTTTAATGTCACATTTTAAGATACTAAATTGATGGTTGCAAATCTAAAGTAAATTATATAACAGAAAAAATAATCTCTCATATTCCTGCGTGGATTACATGGATGTGAACAAATGTCAAAAATCAAACAACCTTGTAACGATGTATTAACCTACATTGTTCAGCTGTGTGGTCAAAAACCTATAAAAATTTTAGCAGACATAACGAAGATGTGACAGAAAACTTAATTTAGTTCAAGGGGTTTTATATCCTAGTTATGTGTTGAAAGCAATGGTGATCATTATTTATGTAACAGTTAAATTCGATTAAAACATAGAATAAACTGTCACTGTTTTAGATAACACACTATTTGACAATGATAGTGAAATTAATACCCTTGACCTTATCTGAAAGAATTTGCGGGAATTTGATGCAGCCACTGTATGTCCCACATATTCAGTTTATCAGAATCTGTCAAGAGTTATTTATACAAGAGGATGCAGACAGTGTTTTGCGATTATAACAGACCTATTTATTCACATCAGCACCCTATTCATTAAAAGTACAATAATTATAGGTAATCCATTTTTTTAGGAAAAAGATTAACTTGAAGAGTTGGACCAGAAGATTAACCTGTCTAAACAAAAAAATAAGATGAATATAATAACAGTCCTGTGATTTAGGTAATAGATAATGGGATCTTCAACTGACTTCTTAAAACAATCAAC